TAGAAAATATGTAATTTATAAATTATAAAAATTGATAAGTATACTATTGATTGGGTATATCATTCGATCATTTCCGTGTTAAAGTTGAAAAATTATTTTCTTAAAAATAGTCACAGTACAGTTCCATTTTATATTTCTACTCACTGTCCTTTTCATACTAGAGGCTGGACCATCCTGTGCACAGAAAATCAGCACTACATACAATTATTAAATGCTCATAATTGTTCATTGACATTATCAAATAAAAGGACCATTAACACGAGAAAAATTGGTTGCAGCATATATAACACGTGGAGGTGGAGGTATCTAGATAATTTTAATAATATTATAAGTAATCTTATAATCAAACAGTGCAACTATCCAAGGTAAGCCTCGTATATAAAAAGGGATCATATCTTTGGTTCTAAACCATGCATGAATCACAAACTATCATATTTTCCTATAACCATGTCTGCTAGTTATCGACCCTGGTTGACATTTCCTGACCTCAAACTCAGGAAGTTTTTGTTCTTGTGCCTTCTTGTGACGGCTTCAGCTGATGAACTAAGCCCTAAATTCTATGATTTATCATGTCCTGAGGCACTTACTACTATTAAGACACTAGTAACCGCTGCTGTGTTGAAAGAGCCTCGCATGGGTGCATCCTTGCTCCGTCTTCATTTCCACGATTGCTTTGTCCAAGCAAGTTCTTATATTCTTTTAAATTTAATGCTTATTTTTTAGCTGATTCATACAATATGCATGAGTTCCGATACTCTTCCACGTGTGAATCATGATTTACTAACAATTTAACCCCCGGTAACAACTTATATATATTCATCTCATAAAATCAAACACACTAATAATGGAGATATGAATAGAAGAACAAGAGTTAATTTATTTTTCCTCTTTAGAAAAATCTCACGTACAATAATGCATGCATATATGAAAGAAAATAAAAAATATATATTCTCGATGATTATATTATAGAAATTAATATTCTTTGATTTTCCAACTTTTGTTTGCTTCTTATTATAGGGATGTGATGGGTCTATATTGTTGGCCGACACACCAACGTTCGTGGGAGAACAAAGTGCCCTTCCCAATGCTAATTCTATAAGAGGTTTGGATGTGATAGAGAACATAAAAGATAAACTAGAGACACTGTGCCCTGGTGTTGTCTCTTGCGCGGACATCGTAGCCGTTGCCGCAAGAGATGGCACTGTCGCTGTAAGTATTCATTTGAGAAAAAGTAAATTTTTTTATAAGCTAAAGATTTGATTAGTAATACAATTGCTTAAATTGGATATATCATATAAGGTGTGCCCACCTCAAATTAAGCTCAAATACAAATGATACTAAATGAGGAAAATAACATTTGAAACAAAAATAAGAAGTGATCAGTTTGCTCCGAAAGTCAATTTTTTTGCTATAATTGTTATGCCTATAATATAAATGACAACCAAAGCTTTTACAGAGATTACCAGAAAAAGTAATAATTAAACTCAAAATTGACGGAATATATATATATATCAAAATTAACATTTGAAATATGAAATAATTAAGTATTTGTTAGTAAAATAAACTTTCAACTAGCTGAAAAGTATTGCAAACAAACTGTATATTTTTATTGTTATTTAATTTTTTTACGGATTTTGACATAATCAATTAAGTTATTAATTATGCAGTTAGAAAAATGTTGATAACACATTATGCCATACATTCCTTTGAACGCATTTTTTTTTTATTATCTAAAACTTTTTAGAAATTATAAAATTTATGCATAAGAAATTATAATTATAAAATTGAATCATTATATCATATTAATTAGTACAATACTAAAAGATAAATACACAAGAATTTTCAGGAGGTCATGTGACAAATAATTAAATTTTTTTTAAAGCACAAATAACTAAATTTTAATAATGATCATATTTATATGATTCAGATTTATAGCTATATTTTTTTCACAATAAATAAAAATCCTTCTATTAATATTTTCCCTATATATATAGCACTATTATATATATATATATATATATATATATTTTTTTTTTTTTTTTACAGATAACAATAATTTATTTATTTTTTTGTCTATGGATATCATCTATGCAATATTCTAAAATTAATAATTAAAGACTAATATGTATTTACAAAGTATGACTTTTACTAATCAAACATTATTTTAATATCGATAATAATTGATTATAAGAATATCAAGTCAACTCTTATATATAATAAATAGTAGTAAAATACTATTTATTAATTTTATTATTAAAAAATAAAATATTGTATATAATATTTTAATAATAATAGAAGAAGTTGGAAGAATGAATAATATTTTAATGACAACCGATAATGTGAAAGGAAAATTAATTAATGCCCAGGAGTTCTTATTGAAATGGTAAGGATACGATATTTTTTAGAAGAAAAGAAAAAATTAGAGTGAAAAACGTTATTTGTGTGTGCATAACTGATGCATGAAAAATGATTGTCAGCTTGGTGGACCAAGTTGGAGTGTTGGCTTGGGCAGAAGAGACTCAACTACTGCAGATTTGAATGCTGCCAACACAGAATTACCCTCTCCCTTTTCGGAGCTTACAGGCCTTATCACTGCTTTCGCAAACAAGAATTTCACGGCCAATGAAATGGTTGCTTTATCAGGTAGATAACCCATTGCTAGCTAAACAAGTTTTACAGGTTATAGAGGTTAATTATCATAATATATATATATATATATATATATATATATAATGCACTACGAGGGTTTTGTTATATATGTATCACATGTTATCATATTTTTTATTATAACCTGAGAAGTATCACCAACTTTGTTAATGAATAGTTTTTTCTGTCATTTTTAGTAAGGATGACCACTTTTACTAAGGAAGTTCTCATTTTTTAATTTTTTTAAAATATAAAATTTAAATTTAAAATTTTATTTAAGTAGATTGAATATCGTTCTATTCATGTCAATAATTTATTGATGTATGATATATATATATATATATATAAAGTCCATTACTTATATAATTCAACAAGTTAAATTTGTTTGCAGGTGCTCACACAACTGGCAAGGCCAAATGTTTATTTTTTCGATCGAGGATTTATGAAGGAAACAATATAGATCCATTGTATGCAAGAGCATTGCAATTTAATTGTCCCAGGACAGGAGGTGATTTCAACTTAACTTCTTTAGACAGCACCACCCCAAACCTTTTTGACAATGCTTATTACCTTAATTTAGTGAACAAAAGGGGTCTCTTGGTGTCGGATCAAGAGCTCTTTAATGGTGGTTCCACAGACTCCCTCGTTACGGTTTATGCTACGAACCCTTCAGCCTTTAGAACAGATTTTGCTAATGCAATGGTCAAGATGAGCAACCTTAACCCACTTACCGGCACCAACGGGCAGGTCAGAAAACTATGCAGCAGAGTCAATTGAGTTAATTGGCGAACCCTAGTGCTTAATAACTATTCCTATGCTGAATCCTATCATATTATATAGTGTTGTATCAAGAATAAATATTTGGTTCCTTAAAAGATAAATTACGATAATATTTGGTTGTGATAAAATATATGTGATCAGAAAATATAAAAGTCTATCTTAAGAGTTGCATGCTTTGAATTTGAGCAACTGTGATTAGTGATTAAACCGAAAACAATCTTTGGCAAATTGATTCATGAGCATAGTATATATAAAATAAAATATTAAATAATTAAAAATGTAATTATCAATTTGTAAATCAATATAAACAACATCTTTCTATATTTTATAGACATATTTTAAAAGAGGTAAATGGTAAAACAATATAAAATAAATAATTTAAATATTATATGTATATATAAATATATATACACTACAAGAAAACGGTGAATAAGCGACGAAAAATAAGCGTCGGTTAATATAGTTGACGTAAATAGTGTTGAAAAAGCAATTTAAATTAAATTAGTGTAGGAAAAGTCGACGCTATATTTAAAGAATAGCGTCGGAAAAGCCGACGCTAAACTTAAAATATTTAATTTAAATTTATTTTAAGTTTAACGTCGAAAAAGCCGACGCTATTATTTAAATATAGCGTCGGCTTTTCCGACACTAATTTAATTTAAATTAGTGTCGAAAAAGCTGACGCTATCATCGGCTTTTCCGACACTAAACTTAATTTAAATTTAGTGTCGAAAAAGCCGACGCTACATCTTAAAATAACGTCGACTTTTTCGATAGTATACGTGCTTTAAGAGAGATAAAGATAATTTTTTCAATGTTATATACGCATAATGTTTTCTAGTACACTTGGTTATCAAGTTCACTTAAGACCTCAAGGTTCACGGATCAAGTCCTAGGAATGTTAAAAATACGAATGAATAAATGATAAGCTGGAAAAAGAAGATAAAGAAAAAAATAAAATAAATTTTGTGTCAATATAGTGTCGGCTTAACCGACAATAAAAAATTAAAATAAATAAATTTGTTAGTGACGGCTTAGCCGACACAAAAAAAAATTGTGTCGACTAATTTAGCGTCAACCAAAAACCGACGAATAACCGACAATATTACGTCGGTTTTTATGATTTAGAGTCGACTTTTGGCCGACTCTAAATCGGAACATTCTTGTAGTGATAGGAGGAAGTCTATCTAAATTTACTTTACTTAATATCTTATGTTTTACATCAAATTTCAATATTTAACTATTAAATTAAAAAAATTTATTTCTCATAGATCAAATTTGCAAATTTTTAAAATATTTGAAAATTATTTAATACTTCATTTCATTAATTCAAATTTACAAATAATACAAAACATCAAATATGTAGACTTAATTTATATGTTAAGAACTTTTAATGTAATAGTTGAATTATTGAAATTTAATGTAAAACATGAATTATTGACTAATAAATTAATTCTAGCAAAAACATGAGTAAATGAATCTCTTCCCTTGTAACAACCCAAAATCGCTGGGCCAGAGGCCCAATTGATTGCCCGGAACGGGCCGTTTCAAAAGTGAAACGGGTCGTTCCAGAATAAGAAAAATGTCCAAAATTGGAGAAGCAGAACGGGCCATTCTGTTTTGGAGAACGGGCCGTTCTAGTTTGAAGAACGGGCCGTTCTGGTGAGAGAACGGGTCGTTCGGCCCGTTCTCAATCCCAGCAGAAAGGCCCGTTCTCTCACCAGAACGGCCCGTTCTCCAAACCAGAACAGTCCGTTCTGCTTCTCCAATTTTGGGCATTTTTCTTATTTCGGAACGGCCCGTTTCACTTTTGAAACGGCCCGTTCCAGGCAATCAATTGGACCTCTGGCCCAGCGATTTTGGGCTGTTACATCCCTCCCTTATACATATAAGGAGTGATCCACTTACTCCAAAAGTAAGTCTAATTATACTTATTTCATTCAATAATTAATGTTTTATATTGAATTTTAATTATTCAACCATTAAATTAAAAGTTCTTAATAAATAGAATAAGCTTGCAAATTTTTAAAAAATTTAAAAATTATTTAATACTTCGTTACATAAATTCAAATCAACATATAAAATATTTTTATGGTTATCCATCAATTTGAATTTATAAAATGAAGTATCATATGATTTTCAAATTTTTTTTAAATATTTACATACTTGATCTATTCATTAAGAATTTATAATTAAATAGTTGGATCATTGAAATTTGATGTAGAATATATAATATTTTAGGAAGTTTGAATGCAATGTTGTATTAAATCCTATGGACAAAAACTCACCAAAACTTTTGGTTTGGTGATTCAATCATTCATCAATAGAAAGCATAATACTACTCTATGAAATATACAAAATATATTGAGACATTTGTAGATTCAAAACAAAATCTATGTAACATCTTCAATATAAATGAAGTTAAATAACAAAGTTCCTTCATCAATTAATCATAAATATTACATTCCTTATAATAAAGTTAGATTGTCGTTAGGGATACAAAGACTTCATCTCCCAAAAACAAAATTCCAATTAGAAACAGCACATACAACAAAGCAAATATAGCTTAATTTTGGAGATTAAAATAAAGAGAAATTTTCACATAAATAATTTTTTTTTTTTATATAAACAGTACTCTGAGCGCAAGTTAATAATTTAAGTTTGTCAACTAAATAAAATTCACTAATATATAGTGTTATTTAAAAAAATTATATCTTAAAAGTTTTAAGCTAAGAATCAAAATATATGCTAATTTATAATATAACATATGCACTTAATTTGCTTGAAGTTAAAATATGTTTCTTGAAAGCTGGTGTATTCAAAAAATTAATATCTTAAAATCAAATCAATCCTCGTATGATTAACAAATGAAAGATAGCTGGATTAGTTAAAAGTTGAATTCTATATATAAAAAAAAAACTTATTTATAAAAGATATTCACTATTTTTTGTTGTATTTTATTCAAGTACGAATTAAGATTAAAAGAATCTTATTTGTATGAAAGATATTCACTATCTTTTGTTATATTTTATTCATAATTTTATGCTAAATAAAATCAAACAGTCAATAAATTAACATAGAAAAGAAGCAAAAGAAAAATTCTTGGTATTATAATAGAGAATTAAAAACTATCTTAATAATTTAGTTTTGAATAAGATTTCAGGTAAATTTTTCATTCCCATGAATTTTCTATGTAAAATTTTCTACTTGCTTTTTGGAAGAAAAATTCATTCTCATAAGTTAATATGCTTACTTTCATAAAAATTAATCATTGTTTTTATTCATACTTTGGTTTTAATTAGATAAAATAACTAAGTAAATAAAATAAGTCATAAGGAGGAAAAAATATTTTTATATTTAAATTATTAAATATCAAATTAGAAAAATACCATAATAATTTATATTTTGATATAATTTCAAGTAAATTATTTATTCTGACTATTTTAAGTATAGATTTCCCTATTTAATTTCAAAAAGAAATGTTACTTTTCATTTATGAGTTAAGTCTAAATTTTGATTTATTTTAGTTATATTTTTATGTTAGATAAAATAAAACATTCGATATATTAAATAAGTCAAAAAATTTGACATAAATATTTTTTTCTTCTTATTTATAACTTATTTAGTTTATTTATTATAACACTCCAGTTTTTATAAACTATATTATTAATATGTTATTATTTATTTTAATGTTTTAATATTTTTATTAGAAGAAATTTAATATTATTTAACCATTTTATATGAGTTCTATTTTAATATAAAGCATGATTTTTAATTATTATTTTGATTATTTGATACAAGATATTTTTTTTATGAAAATGTATTTTATTAAAGGTTAAGCATATGTTATTGTATTAAAAGGAGGAAGTATGTTTTAATTATTTTAATTGTTTTATAAAGGTAGAAGGAAGGATGTAGTAGTAATTTTATTATTATTATTGTCATTGTTGTTGTTATTTTAAGTAAATTAAAAGGACTTCGGAGGTTATTTTCATGCTTCTCACTTTCTGTCTTCTTTCTGTACGCTTTGTGCTCTGAAGACTCGGGAAAACCAAGAGAGGAGGATCATTCGGAATCTACTCACGTTTTGCATTCGCGTAAACAAGGTAAGGAGGGGGTGAGAAACCTCGCTCGAGGTGCAGGGATAATTTCTGTGTAGCAAGATTGACCTCCAATCCTTTGCTCGATGTATGCTTATAGGAACGAACACTTAATAAATGTTTTCTATTTTGCTTTCTAATTGTTCTATTGCATTCATTGAGTGATTTTGAGTGTGGATATGTGTTATTTCAATAATTGATATGTTTGATAATAAGATTGACCCCCAATCATTTGTCTGATGTATGTCTATAGAAACGGACACTTAATCAATGTTTTCTGTTTGACTTTCTAATTTATTGTTCCATTGCGTTCCTTATATGATTCTGAGGGTGGATACGTGTTCAATTTTAATAATTGATATGTTTGATCTGATTTAGAGTTCTTTATGGGTTCAAATGTGAAACTATTAGGAATAAGATTAATTGGCATGGATTGACATGTTTAAGACTAAATTGAGTGTTGATTCATATTCTGGATGTATATTTGAGTATTTGTACTGAATGAGTAGTGTGATTATATGTAAAAATGTGAAAATTGTGTAACGTGATAAAGTGATGAATAACATGAAGTGATGAGTCTGTTACATTGTGATTATGTAACATGCATCATATGCATTTATGTATGGGGTACGATGTGGAGTACACTATTAGGGAAAACCTTCCTTGTGTAACAACTTGGGGGAGTCCTAAGGGATAACGCGGTTTGGATGTCTTAGTTCTGCCTGTTTGTGTGCATGGGACGTAACTTGCGCGACTTCGCAATCCTGACGAGACCCTAGTATAGTACATCTTTCTAGTTAAGAGTGCAATTAAAGGGTTGAGCCATGCATGTCTTAGACTATTCCAGGTGTGTTGCTTCGATAACATACTAGTGATATGTAATTAGCGCCACATGCATGCATTTGTGAGTCGAATCCATGACATTGCTTCGACAACATACTAGTGATATGTGATTAGTGCCACATGCATGCATTTGTGAGTCGAATCCATGACATCCTTGCATAATAAGTGACATGTTTTAATGGAATGACATCTGTGTGTGATACTGTCCCATGCTTGGCTTGTGTGTGTGTTATTCTTCTAGGATTACTTTGTATATGTTGTTATCTAATAGTTATTTCCATACTTTGAGCTTGAGTGAGATGTTTCTCACTCCCTTGTTTGTTTGTCTTTGTATATGTTTTAATTATGTTGCAGATGACTTTTAGCATGATGATATTGGTGATGAAGCTTAAAATTTAGTGTCGGACTTGCTCTGATAGGATATGTGATATTAGGCATAGCTAGGATTAGTTTAGGGTGCTATTTCCATTGAACTAGTTGAAAATTTGGTTTCATTTATTTGTAATTTTGTTGACATGTTATTTGGATTAAGTTTATGAATATGAACTATTTATCCTTATGTGGTTGGAGATTTGTTTTTTAATTATGAATAATTTTATTTTTATATTTATTGTATATTTATGTATGGGGTAAAGGGTGTCACACTTAGTGGTATCAGAGCCAGGGTGCTTCTTTGAATCCTAGCAACTAATGAAATTACATCTAGTTTAGTCTAGTTTTAAGTTTGTACACAATAGTTTTATTCTTGTTTTTTTTTTTTTTTTAAATGTACAATGTTACCTTAATTTTTAGTTGCCTGTCCTGCGGTTGTAGACGATGCAAGACTTAGAGAAAGTTCCTTGCTAAAGTTAGAGGAATGGTAAGCATGATTGGACATGTTTGCAACATTTGATAATGGCCATTCATCTGGATCCAGGTTTCCTACTATTGAAGAATAAGGCTGACACACAGTTGCATCAATCTCTGGAGTCTTAGGAAACTTGTTAGCATTCCACTTGCTAGGGACTTCATTGTAACCACAGTCCTCAAAAGCTGCAGCCAAAGGGTTTGAAGAACCATGCAAAATGTTGAAGAATGGCGCCAGTGGCCCCATTGAGCAGAGTGCGGGAGGCAAGGCTTCTGAGTTCTCTAAATTTTCTTCAAGACCAATTCTAGCAGCGAGAATGGCAGCAAGGGAAGAGGGAGTAATTGGCATTCCTCCAACTAAATTCTCTTGAAGCTCACTGTTCTCCATGGGATTTGAAGCATCTGCCACAATAGTCTTTCCTTGTGAGGCAACTAATGGACTAGAGTTGGCAATAATTGAAGGATTAATGAAGCAAACATCAGCATGGACATTGCTTATAAGTTCACCTTGCTCTCCAGAAAGCATTGGAATTCCATTTATGATGTTGGTTTGATTGTTAAGGTCAAGTGAATAGCACTGAATGAGAGGATTTGAGGTGGAATGTTGGGAAATTTCATCTGTTACTGTAGCATCTCGGCCAGCAATGTACATATCAGTCTCCATCAGCATAAGCAGTAATTAGTAAATTGTAACAAGAGGCTCTTGATCTTGCAGTGGTCTTTCAGAAAAGCTTTACTTCAATAGTGGTATGATCCTTCAATAGAGTCTAGTCATCCGAAGAGAGAAAAGGAAAATGGACCTACATAACAAGAAAACATCCCCACCATAAACTAGAAAAGAAATTTGGAAGGAGAAACGGAGCAAATGGTTAAATAATTATGCAGCATGCGACTTAATCGAGCGTCATTTCAACATTCAAAATAGATGATATGCTGAAAGAAGAAAGAGAAAATCGATCAAAGAATGCTCTTAGCTTAGTTATAAAATATCAACAACGAACAGCCAAATGAATTCATGAAAAGTATCAAACCAAAATGATGCGAGCTAGCACAACCAACCTGAGATTTTTCATCACCCAACAAAGCAAGCGAAGCCACTAAAACATGAGACATTAAACAACTCCTTCCCAAGATATTTTGTCCTTTGAGAACCTACTATAATGTAAAAAGAAAATGCAAAAGAACCGCAGTGGCAAATAGCAAGGTTATTTGTGTTGAAAACAATAAAAGAAATGAAGGCATTCCAAAGTCCAAACTCGGAAACTTACATCATGCCAAATGAAAGACCAGCACCAAAGTTGTGCAGTTGTGCTGATTTCTTTTGCATGAACAGAAGCAACTTTTCCGTCAAGCATCCCAACCCCAAAACACGAGTTTTATTTTCTTAGACCCCATCAAGATATCCTGCACCACCCTCTTTGTCAAATCCTTAACACTAAGAAACACAAAATGTTGCCTATCTAGTCTTGCACATTTTTATTCTTGTTTTTTTTTTTTTTTTAAATGTACAATGTTACCTTAATTTTTAGTTGCTCAGTGAATCTTTGTCTAATTTCCATATTTTCATATAGTTTCAATTGGTTGGGAGTGTCAGAGCTCTCTATTTATAGGCATCAAGCATCACCGCAACGACTCATTTCAAAGCTGGAACGGCCCGTTCTGGACTTTGACAACATGTGTAAAATTGACATCCAAAACGGCCTGTTCTCAAACCAGAACGACTCGTTCTAGCACTGGTGCAAAAATTGGATTTAAAATTGGAGTTTTAAGATTGGTTATAAGGTAACCGATCTTAAAAGTGAGGTGGTGACAATTTTGTAAATAATCTAAACACTTCTAAGATCGGTTCTTTTGTAACCGATCTTAAAAGTTGTATCAGACATAACTTTTAAGATCGGTTATAAAATACCGATCTTAAAAGTACTTTTAAGATCGATTATTTTATGACCGATCTTAAAAGTGCTACTTTTAAAATCGGTTATTTCATAACCGATCTTAAAAGTTTCGTCAGAAACCTTTTATATTTCCCTCCAATCTCATTCTTTTTAATCTTTCCCTCCATTCATTTTTTAAATCTCTCTCTCGCACTCTCATTTTCTAAAGAGGTAAATTTTTTTATCATTTTCGTTTTCGTTTTCCTCTCCTTGTATCTCTTTTTGTTTTCTCATGCAGTTCTCTTGTCTCTATTTTCGTTGTAGGTTCATTTTGGGTAAATTTCAAATCTGGAACGACCCATTCTGCAAGAAGAACAGCCCGTTCTCCTTTCAGTACGGGTCGTACTGCATGGAACACGGTCCGTTCTCCTTTCAGTACGGGCCGTACTGAATGGAGAACGCCCCGTTCTCCAAAGAGAATGGCCCGTTCTCCTTGCGGTACGGTCCATACTGAAAGGAGAACGGGCCGTTCTGAGTTGCGTTCTTCAATTCGTGCTTTTACAATCTGGAACGACCCGTTCTAGTTTAATTTTTTTCTTGACCAGCACTTTTAAGATCGGTTATAAAACAACCGATCTTAAAAGTTTACTTTTAAAATCGGTTATTTAACCGATTTTAAAAGTCTAACTTTTAAAATCGGGTCTTTTAAAATCAGTTACGGAACCGATTTTAAAAGTAAAAAATAACCAATTTTAAAAGCCTTTTTTCCACTAGTGTAGGGTTGCATTTAACCCATAACGGCCATATCTAGAATGGCCCATTCTCAATTAGGGTTATAGGCATTTTTGATGATTTGGAGCGCCCCGTTCCACTTTGGGAACGCCCCGTTCCAATCTAAAATTTGTAGACAATTTTTGTATTTTGGAACGGCCCGTTCCTATTTGGGAACAGGCCGTTCTGGGCTACAAAACCACTATCATTTTAGTAGTTTGGAATGGCCCGTTCCAATTTGGGAACGGTCCGTTTTGGGCTACTAAATCACCTCTATTGAGCCTTTAGGCCCTCAACCAATCTATAAAAATTGGGTTGTTACACAGGTTGATTCAAACCAGACTTGTGTGCTATGTGTTCATTACAATTTTGTTGTGTACTCTCATTTGTAATGTTTACATAGAATGTTTTGGCGATTGATGTTAATTAATAGTTGATATTGATGGATTGCTAAGTTTTGATACTGTTAATTATGTTGTAATTAGATGGTTAGATGGCTAGTAGACATGATAGGGCGTTAGTTGATGTCATTGATGATTGCTTTTCTTCATTCTCATGATTTTTTATTGTTTTGATACTTATTGCTCATGTAAGAAGTAGTGGTTGGATGGTATTGGTCGTGTTGCGAGCATATATGTGAGTAATAGTGAACTAATCATCGTACTAATCAACTAGAAACTACTTGAATCTTGAATTTGGTTGAAACATTGATCTCTTGAATGTATTAAGAGTTTATTGTTGATGGAACTTCCGAAATCTATAGTTGTGGGGATGAACTCAAAGAGGTTGTATGTTGAAAATTGGGATTTTGGTGTTCCTAATGAGAGACTAAAATGTGGATGATTTCTTTGAGTTTTAATGCTTGCATGTTGACCTTTTTATGGTTTGGGTTGCATGTGGATTTTATTTTAGTTTCCGAGTCTTAGTGTTGAATATATGAGTTGTTTTGGTTTAAGATTGTAGTGGGAAGAATGAATATGAGTTTGGGATAAAAAGGAGTGAGTTTGGAAGGGTTTTAAGATATTTCGTGGCCTTGAACGTTGGTACAAAATTGTTGTCTGGTGAAGGGATGTTTTCACTGCAGTTTTATTGTGTCAGTATGGGTTATTTATCGATAGAATTAGATTTTGTAATCTTCATAAAAGTTGTAGTCTTGGATATTATTTTTCTAATGACACCAAAATCATTTAAAACAGAGGTCTAAAACTCCAATTATGACTATTTCAGTAAACAGAGATCAAGTTATTAATGCTGATTATATTTGCTGTGACTTTTAAAATTTTTAACTACAGTAAATGATCTTTTTAGGATTTCATGTCTTGTTAAAAATATTAACTATATTAAAAAAATTACATCTATGTAATGTTTATAAAAATAATTTAAATTATTTGTAATTATTGTCACTCCAATTTTTTTTTAAATTTAGTTTTTTTATATTCAATTCATAAAAAATTATATATGTTTCGAGATAATGATCAAATAAATTATTACTAAATAAGATTTTGAAATTATTTAATTATTAAAATTTTCAATTCAAAAGGTTAAAATAAATAAATAGATATAATAAATATATTAAAACATGACTTAAAAATTTGTTTAATACCTCAGTTTCTAAACACGACCCTGCTCAAGCTCACTGGTATATCTAATTTCAATACAAGCAAATCAAAGTCAAATAGATGAATAAATCTAAATTACATTGTTTCTTAATTATTATTTTTTTTTGTCATTATTGTAAAAAGGCTATTGACAGGTGAGCACCAATATAATTTCTAGCGATTGAAAAATCATCGGTGTAGATAAAATATGGTCTTAACAAAACTTTTTCACGTATACATCATGAACCATATCGTGATATAAATGTATAAGTTAAGAGATTTAATTATGTATTAATCAAGTTGGATCGACTTTGTAAAAGTTGACCTAACAATTTTTTTATTGTCCTATTAAAATTAAGACACAGATATTTTTTTTATTTATTTAGCACTGTAGTTAATTTTATGATACATGATCTTATTTGAGTATAGGAGGATTCAAACGGCAAAATTATTTACTCTTACATTATATATACAAAATTTTATATTAATTAATTTAAGATAATTTGACACTTCTTTCTTATAAAATAAAATTAACGTAATATATACATTTTAAAATATAATAAAATATAAATATTTTGATTATTTTCAAGTTATCGTTCAATTTTAATAAAATTTGATATAAACATATAAAGTGATTTAAAGTTATAATTTAATGGTTAGATTTACAAGATTCACATTTAATATAAAATTATTGAGCGATGTAATAGTTAGTAATAAAAGTTACACCGGTGTCATTTGAATCCTCCTCTATATATATATATATAAAAGGAGGGATCCATTTACTCCGGAAGTAAATCTACCTTGAGTTAATCTGTTTAATTACTCATGTTTTACATCAAATTTTAATGATCCAACCGTTCAATTTAAAGTTCTTAATGTATAGATCAAATTTGCAAATTTTTAGAAAATTTTAAAATTATTTGATACTTCGTTTCATTAATTTGTATCAATGTATAAAATAATTTTATGATTATCCGTCAATTTAAATTAATGAAATGAAGTATCAAATAATTTTCAAATTTTATATTGAATGGAGTATTTTTAAGTCAAATAAAATTTATAAATAAAAATAAATTAAAGAGAATAATACATTCTTTTATTATTGATAATGAATATCTTTTATATTAAATAGGAATAAATTAAAGAAAAAAGATTTTAAAATTAGGGGGAAAATTATAAAAATAAATTATTAAATCAAGTGACATTATATTTATTGATCGTGATGATGATGATTCAATTTTTAAAAGTTAAATTCAAATTAAGACTAATTAAAATTCTAGAAATTTTAAAATCCAGTTTTTTTTAGAAAAAAAAAAAGAAAGAAAGAAAGACATTTTTAATTTGATATAATGCATCAAGATCTAAAGTAAAATAAAATTTTAAAAACATGAAATTCAAATTTAAGAAATAAAATTTAAAACTTAAAATACACATAAAAATTAATATTAAATACTCAGTATGAAAACACCTATCTTGGTAAAAATGAGAATATCGCTTTAAAAATACTATAAATAATGAATGGTATTTATAATATAGTGGTTAAGTATATTTGAGAAAATTATAATTATAAAAAAATTATATAAAAATAGTTGACGCAAGAAGTATAATGAAAAAAAAATGTAAGTCATAAGATCCTTTCACCCTCTCATTAAAGTGTAAGTAGATATTAATATAAGAGTATATCAATTAATTACTTTATTTGTCGGTATATTTTCTACTGGGGCTATAAATATTTTTTAATTAACTTCGTTTTATTTAATTGGAACGGTTGACCAACATGCTATTTTAACTTTTTCGTATAAATACAACTTTCTAGAGGAGCTACGTGACCTACAACACATTAAAGAAAATATCGTTCTAATTTAGATAATTATTGGATTTTGTTTATTGCAGATAATTAAGCAAAATGGTAATGAATTTATCCTATACTTTTTAATTTAAATTTTTATTGCGTAACATTGAGTAACTAACGATTTGCATATTATATAACTTAAATTTACTAATTATAAGAAAGGTTTAAAATTATGGATACTTAAAAGATATTTAAATTAATGTCCAATATTGTATAGGTGTCTAACATGTTTCTTAATTTTTA